AACTTAATGCAATGTGTCATAGGCCATAGGTATTTCTTGATTTACAAATTCACTACAACACAAATGTTAGGACAAACATAACACAGTACGGCAGCACCGTCGCTTACGCAAAGAAATTCGCGTCGCTTGCGCAAAGATTTGCCCAGTCGCTTGCGCAAAGACGGGTGTCGAATCCATTGTAAAAACCATAGGAACGTGCACTTCGGTCTTTTTCGGAAATGGCTTCAACAAGCATGGAAAAGTGTCGAATCCATTGTAAAAACCATAGGAAAGTCCACTTTGCAAGTTAGCCGAAGTTGACGACATTTACGCGCCAAAGTGCCGAATCCATTGTAAAAACCATAGGAAAGTGCACTTGCCCAGTTGGCAAGTGCTGGCCGAAAAGTGCGTTTTGAGCTGTTTTAGGAAACATCTGACAGACCATCGAAAATGCACTTTTGGAGTCTCGAAAAGCATGTTTTCGTTGGTTTCCGGATAAGCGTTTTCAGAGCATGCTTCGGGGGCTGAAAACGGCACCATCGAAAACGCACTTTTGGAGTCTCGAAAAGTACGTTTTGGTTGGTCCTGGGGGGGGGCTGGGGGGGCGGGGTGCATGGGGGGGTCGGGTTGGGGCTGGCTTCCTGGCTGTAGTGGGGTGGGGGGTGGTCGGGGCTAAGAACGTCAGGTTTGACGCTTGCAGCAAAAGCAGTTTCATTGCTTCCATGGAAAACGTATTCTTGGAGGCTCGAAACGCACGTTCCGGTTGGTTCTTGGGGGGGGTGGGGGGTGGGGGGGTGGGGTTGGGGGCTAAGAACGTCCGTGTTTGGCGCGTGGAGCAAGAGAAGTCGCGTTGGCAGCAGTACGTTCTGGTTGGTCTCATGGGTGGGCGGGTGGGTGGGGGGTGGGGTGGGGGGCTAAGAACGTTGGTAATTGACGCATGCAGCAAGAGAAGTCGCGTTGGCACCAGCACGTTGTTGTTGGTCCAGGGGGGGAGGGTGGGTGTGGGGTGGGGGGCTAATACCGTTCGTGTTGGACGCGCGCAGCAAGAGAAGTGTCGCTGGCAGCAGCACGTTCTTGATGGTTCCAGGGGGGGGGGCTTATAAAGTCCGTGTTCGACGTGTTTGACGTGGGGGACTAAGAACCTTTTTTTTCATGTTAGTTCCAGGGGGGGCGGGTGGGGCTTGGTTGGAGGGGGGGTGGGGTTGGGGGCTAGTAACGTCCGTGTTTTTGTCGCGTGCAGCAAAAGAATTCTCGTTGGCCCCAGCATGCTGAGAACGTCCGTGTTTGACGAAAACGCACTCTTGGAGGCTCGAAACGCACGTTCCGGTTGGTCCTGGGGGGGCGGGTGGGGGGGTGGGGTGGGGGGCTAAGAACGTCCGTGTTTGGCGCGTGGAGCAAGCGAAGTCGCGTTGGCACCAGTACGTTCTGGTTGGTCCTGGGGGGGCGGGTGGGGTGGGGGGGCAAGAACGTCCGTGTTTGGCGCGTGGAGCAAGAGAAGTCGCGTTGGCAGCAGTACGCTCTGGTTGGTCCCATGGGGGGGCGGGTGGGTGGGGGGTGGGGTGGGGGGCTAATAACATTCGATTTTGACGCTCGTTGGCAGCAGCATGTTTTTGTTTGTCCCAGGGTGCGAGGGGTGGGGTGGGGGGCTAACAGCGTTGGTAATTGACGCGTGCAGCAAAGGAAGTCGCGTTGGCACCAGCACGTTCTTGTTGGTCCCAGGTGGGGAGGGTGGGGGGTGGGGGGGAGCCAATAACGTCCGTGTCTGACGCTCGCTGGCAGCAGCACGTTCTTGTTGGTCCAAGGGGGGGGCTAAGAACGTTCTTTCATGTTGGTCCGAGGGGGGCGGGTGGGGCTTGGTGGGGGGGGGTGGGGTGGGGGGCTAATAACGTCCGTGTTTTTGTCGCGTTCAGCAAGAGAAGTCTTGTTGGCCCCAGCATGTATGTTTCTTTGGTCACAGGGGGGGCGGGTGGGGGTGGGGGGTTATGTGGAGGCCAATAACGTCCGTGTTTGACGCTTGCGGGGATAATCACGTCCGTGTTCGACGCGCGCAGCAAGAGAAGTCTTGTCGGCACCAGTGGGGGGCTAATAGGTTTCGAGTCGCTTGCTTGCCCGCATGCAGCAAAACCGCCGCCCCCGTCGAGGTGTCGAGTCGCTTGTTTGCCCTCAAGTGCTTGAAAACAGAGCCTAAGAACCGAAGCGGCGAAGCCCCATCCTGTGACCTGTGCACCAAAGCGCGCTCGGATCCTGCAAAGCACAAACTCTGAACGGACCGCCGAAATGTGCTTTTGCAGCCTGGAAAAGCAGGTTTTGGAAGGTCCGAACCTCATGCCGCTCGGAGGCGAGGCAAGCGAGGTAACCGCTGCTTTCGTCCCCCTGACTCGCTCGTGCTGGGTTCCACATGAAGAAGCTTGGCTTGGCCTGGCCAGTAGCCGACACCTCGCGTTGGACACGCCAAACTGCTGCCTCCCGCAAAGCGCAAACTCCGAACTGACCTCCAGAACGCACTTTTGCAGGCTCCAAAAGCACGTTTTGGAGGGGTTCCGACGACAGAACAGCCGCAGAATCCAAGAAGAAGAACTGCATGGTGCAGGAATGGGCTTGCAAAACACGCTTTCTTTCCACCATCTGCGAATAACCAACATCGTTTCGAACGCCTGCGGCGTGAAGCAAAACCGCCGCCCCTGTCGAGGTTTGGAGTCGATTGCTTGCTTTCAAATGCTTCAAAACAGGGGCTGAAGACCGACGCAGCGAAGCCGAATCCTGTGGCCCTGCCAGCACTTTAACAACTTCGGAGCCAAAAAGCGCGATTTCGAGCGTGCACGCCCAAAGCCGGAAACCACGGCCCTGCCGACGTTTCGTGCACTTTCAAGCCTCCCGAACATAGCAAAGTTACAAGTAACGAACTCCGAATTCATTGGCCCTGCCAATACAAAACGCACCTCCGCGCGTACAAGCGAACGCCCAACCCTTTGCACAAGCGAACGGGCAAATCTTTGCACAAGTGACCGCTCTGCCAGGGCGATGTAATACTCTCTCTCTGACGTTTCATCATGTACCCCGTCCCTAACCTGAGGCCGGAGCTCACATCCACGTGCAAGTGGCTTCGGTGCGGCTTCTGTGTGTGCTGCTTGGCTTGGGGAGGTCTCTGGGAAGTATAAGTATGGTTGTGGGTCCTGAAGCTACCAGAATAAAGCCCTATGTTGGCCTGGATGGTGTGGTTCAGGATAAGAAGAAGATATACTGCAATCTGCCTAAATATGCATGCATGTACATAGTATATGATAGATGACAAGATAAAGTAATATACAAAAATCTGCAATTGGGGCTCTGGGGCATGTTGGAGCTCTGCTAGCCTATCGGCTCGAGCCGTGCCGGGGCCCGACCCCAAGAAAAGGAACCCTGGCAGAATCAACCGCAGGATGGATGAAGGGACTTATTTGTTTGGCTTTGTTTGTTGCCTCCAAAAACGAGTAAAACAAATACAGTCCTTCACCAGGTGGTTACGGTTTTAGGTTTAGGAGCTTCATACCGAAAGGACCGACAACTGAACGGACTGCTACAGCAACCTCCACCAACCTCAGTCTGAAACATCATCGTTGACAGAATCAATGCTACTGTAGGAATGGTCAAAAAACAAAATCTGCTGCTATATCGAAAAAATCATCATCACGATCATCGGCACCATCACCATTGAACAGATCAACTAAACATCGTCGGGACCGATCCAACACCTCGGAAACCATCCTGCTCATCGCTGTCGCTGTCTAACTGCTTATGGACGACACTGGGATAATCTGGGCTTGCGCGGTGGGGAGAAATCGAACGGGCGAGGGGGAGAATGACAATGGAGCTGATTGAGGCAATGCCGCCAATAAGCGCTAACGCCCCGGCCGGTAATGGTCGTGAAACGCGGTAATGACGGTGATCAGCACGCAATTGCTGAGCTTCAATGTAGCCAAGACCCTTCCCCCAGTCGTGGTTATCGATGGCCACAGCAGCAACACGAGTGATACTCTCACGGTAGCAAGCAAACTGCTGGAGTTCTGATACCACTGGGACCAAAGTCGAACGGCTCAACTAGCACGCGAAAGATGTCGGACCAACCACAACAGCAAGGACAAGGACAAGGACAGGGACAGAGACAAGGACACGAACAGGGAGCAACCACCACCACAACAACAACAACAACCACAACGACAACGACAACAACAACGACAACGACAACCACAACCACAACCACCACCACAGCCACAACTACCACCAACAACAACAACAACAACCACAACCACAACCACATCATCACAACCACAACTACAAACCTGAACAACCCATGCCGACTGGCAAAGCTTCAACTTCCGAACATCTATTGGCAAAACATGCTCGTTTTTTCAAAAAGATGGAGAAAACGAACACAACTGCAGCAAATGCTGCGAGAAACCGTCCGGAAGTGACCTCGCAGGGCAAACTCCCAACTCAGCAACTTCCGCCACGGTGACGACCCCTTAATTCTACAAAACAACCGGTTTCGGGCTGTGGGTCTGACTTCTGCGATCGTCAGCTTTCTGGCATCCACGCTTTTCTCACAAGCACGCGGCAAGTTCAAAGGTCTGCTGTCGTGGGAGCTCTTAAACATGGTTTGGGCCCTGATGGTGGTCCTCCGCTGGGCGAGAGCACTGTTCAACACGCACCAAGGCCACGAATTGCCTTTGCCAGTCATAAGCACTCTCCCTTTCCTTTGGGGTGACGAATTTCAGCGGGGCATCCGAAAACTCATCGCTGCCTATCTCCACAGAAACTTCTATGCCTCCTTACCTAGCAGCAGCCCCTCAAGAAAACTGGTGCAATGTGCTTCTTATACTGCTGACAGTGGTCGGGTCCATGCACCTGTCACGCATTGATGATCACCCCGAACACCACTTCACCCCGCATTCTAGTTGAAGTCTCTTGGGCTGCGCTCGCAAGAAGCCGACATCTTCCGATCCTAGCTGTAAACGTTTTCGGAAGCCCCCCGGGGGGGGGGCCTAAGAGTCGAAGATGCTTTGTAAGTCAGGGTCAAGGACCATTTCCGTGGCCGCCGTTCTCGCCGGCGGTGCTTTATCCGGGGTCATGGGCGCCGCCTCCCCTGCTGCCGCCGCCGGGGCCGCCGGGGCCGCCGGGGCCGGCGTCACCACACGCGCTGAGGCCGGTGGCGGGACGCCGACGGGCTGCGTGGGCCTGGACAAAGGAAAGGTCCGGGACTCGAAATCTCCCCGACTGCCCCAACTCACCGACTCACCGTCTCAGGTCCTGAAGCTGGGCTTCTGGGTCACAACGTCCGCAGCGTCCGGGGGCACTTCGAGCCTCGCTCTCCAAGCTACTAGTTGGGCGCTCTCGGACGAGGCGAGGTGACGAGTCTCTGAGGGAATCCTGAAAATGACGATCCCTTGGGGTTTCGTCGGCTTGTCTTCTTGGATTGCTGAACTGCTGCACAGCACGATTGTGCATGCGGTATTTCGTGACGTGCCGCTGGCAAGGACTATCTCTGACCCTCGCCCCTCCCTCGCGCGTGAACGTGCGCCTATGGCCTATGGATCTTCAGCGCAGTCAAGAGAGCACAAACAGCCCTCGCTGCGTCTGCGCCTATGAATCTCTCCTCCTCTCTTCACTCTTCGCGCTTGCTTTACGTTGCGTTTGGCCAGGGCGACCGGCCGTCCTCTCTGGCTCTTTGTCTCCTTCTTCTCCCCTCGTGTTTGGGGAGCTGAGCTTGGGCCTGCCAAGCCGCAAGCCCACATTTGACGCGCTTGTGAAGTGAAAAGAAGTGGCTCCCTCCTTCATGTAGCTGCAGGACATCATACATTCACATGCCGTCACACGTGCATGAGACCGGAAAACCGGAATACCGACAAGAAGCTACACGACAATGGCAGTCATACAGCACAGCACAGGGATGCAATCAAGGCTTTTGGGGAACGCATACACACGCACCGCGCAAGCAATCGATAAGAACTGTGAGTTGGCTGACTTTGCGCTCCATCTCTCCATGCCCTCCGTCGCCCCCGAGCAACGAAGGATTCTGAGGATCCGGCTGCGAAGCTCCAGTCTTCGGATTCCAATAGTAGGTGGCGCCGTTGCTTCGAGACCTTTGAAAGAAATCTGGCCCGGGTCATACAAAGGAAAGCCTCGGAGGTCTCTGTGAAAACCTGGGGCCAGCGGCTTCATCTTCACCCAGCCATCCGGGAAGTCGAAGGTGGACTTCCCGGTGCGGACATTGACCTGGAGAGCCCGAGCCACACCCCAAAACCTGTGTGACCCCACACTCGAGAAGACGACCCAGAGACCGGAGCAAGGGAAATTGTCGGGGGGAAGCACCCGAACAAAGGTGTGTAAGGCGTCGCGCCCGAAACTCAGAGACATCCAAAGCGAGTCGGCTCGGAAGTAAGGCGGCGGCGAAGTACACTCCGCTGCCACCTCAAAAGCAGCTCTTCTCGAGTGCTTCCCGCTTCGGCAGGGCATCTGTAGGCGAGCTTGTTCCATTCTGGTCTGCAAGAGGTTTGGGACACTTATATGGCTTCTACCCAAACTCCTCTCAGGCTCGCAGCACACTCGGAAGACGACCTGTGAACCCGGCGATGTTTGGCCACGGAAGTGTTGAACCTGTGAGCTGAGCCCTGGGCGCTTCCTCCGAACCCGGATCCAGTTCGGCCTCGGCGTGTAACTGCGCCCTACTTGAGCTTGGTCCCGGCGGGTGTTCGGATGGTTTATAGGCCCCTACTCGTTCATCTTCTGAGACCCCAAACCGCTCTTCGAGATCGAAAAAACGGTGTACTTGTCTGAGGCTTTGTCGGCAAGGGCGTCAGGCCGGCAAACTGTGCCTGCACAGGCCAGATTGCGGTTTCATCGTGCGCGTGCAGCGGTATGGCTAGCCAGCGCAACATATTCAGTGCACGTGTTCAGCATCGTAGCGTAGGTCGTGCTTGCGAATTTACAGCACAGGGTGCCTGCAGGAGAAGTCAGGCAACGAAATCTCTAACAGAGGGAGCTCGGCGGAGAAATTTGGAGAGACGCTCTCCGCCCATGCTTCGGGAAACCGGCCAGGGCCAGGGCGCCTGCTCCTCCGCCCACTCCATCACCGTCCTTGGCCCGTCGCCCGAACGCTCTGGAGCCTCCCGGGGTTGAACGCAAACTTCTCCATACCCAGAACTTTCAAAGACCCGAAAGCCCTACACACAACAGCCCAGACCCATCCGAAACCATTTGAGGTGAACCACCACACGCATGCGCACACTGACACTGAGACAGAGACAAACAGCCATAGATTATGACATATACATCCGTCTCTCCCTCCACCCGTCCATACATACCGTGTCACATGCATACATACATGCACGGGTTTGTGCACACGTGATCTTGTGTCCACGTCCTATTCTTCGCGGATTCTAGCTACAGCAGCTCTCCAGCTCACGTCGGAGAGCTTTGCAGGGTTTCTTGATCAGGTTCCTACATTATTATAGTACCCTTATAGATCCTTTATAGTAACCCTTATAGACCCGTTTAAAGGAACCCTAATAACTCAAGCGGCAGCTTGGCCTTTGTCGTGGGAGCTTCTGCCTGCGCAGGCGGGCCGCTGCGTTCAGGCGTCTGTCCTGTCAGCAAAAGTTTCCGTATGTGTCATGCTTCCTAAGAGCCAAAGCACAAATCGCCAGGAGCGAGGGGGACAGAGCAGCTGCAGAAACTTGCAAAGAAACGGTACACTGCAGATCCTTTCTGGTATAAACGACCAAGCTGCCCTTTTAATGAAGAGTTGTGAGCATCAGATACACTCAGCTGGGGGCCGGTGCAGGCCATCGGCAGTTGTCGACCAAACAAAGGAAACGACGCACAGTCGGGCAAAACATCGGTCACCAGTTGCTGGAAAGCTTGGAGAAGCTGAGGACCTGCTGAGGACCCAAGCTTTCAAGGCGTTTGTGAACCCGCGGCGACCCTAGTCGGTAGTGACGGAGTGAAGGGACATGTCTCGTCTTGCCAACACGATCGCCTCGTGCGACGGACGTGCGTCGCGCGCTGACCAAAGCACCAAGCCTCTATGCTTGGTTGGCATGTGGAATGAAACACAAATCTGCATGATAGCGCCTACCGATCATCTGCATCTGTCAGACGCCCCTTCAAGAACTGAATGTCTCACCCTTTCAACCAACCGACTTGCAAAAGCGTGGGGAAATGACGACAATGTGGCACTTGCCGAACACGTAGGATACCTGCTGCTCTGCGACAACCAACAACTTAAAGCTTCGGCGAGAAACCGTGCATCTCCAACCAAACACTCAGCCCGTCAAGCATCCCGTGGATTGGATGAAGACATTGAAGGCATCAACAGTGTCCTTGAGGTTGGCTCTTTGCGCCGGTGGTGATACCAGCCGTCTCCTACAGGCGCAGTAAGGGCCCCTGGTGCTTCTGATTCGATGACCTGATTTCAGAAGGCCGATCGAGGTTGAGGTCTGATCCTGCAAGGCTGAGTGGGTGGAGTCCTTCTTGCACAAATGGCCGAATCCTGTAGTTACCAGTAGGGACAAGGACATACCGCCTACGAGGCGGCAAAAGCGAGGGCTCGAAGCTGGGCAGTGGTCTGTAGTCCTTCTCTTGAGGATCTAGCAGCTAGCAGTGGACTATCGTCTATTGGCCCTTGGCGGAAGGATCTCCAAGGAAAGTCTCTCGCACGACAGGAGAGTGAGAAGAACCTGAAGAAGCACGCCAGCCCTTGGAGCCCCGTTCCCGCAGCAGGCTCGCGAACTCCGCGGGTGGGCCGAAGTCTTTGTCTTTCTGTTTGGCCTTCGCAATTTTCGCGTTTGCGCGACATCTCACATCACCGAAGAACAGAGAAACCTACAGAAGCTCTTACCAGGAATCAAACGCGCCTGCGGCGTCTCAGTCTTCACAACGGCCGCTCGGGTCTCTTCCAACTCGGAGAAGCCACGGGCTTGTATGCAGGGTCTTCAGTCTTCTCTGCTTGAACTTGGGCATGTGGGTGTCGGGCTGTCGTGGCTGAATAGACTCGACTACAGACGGGCTTACAGTCTCGAGGGACAGGGCTTAGTGTTTAGGATGCACCCAGGCCTGTTTCAGAGCCGTCTCAAAGCCCAGTCGGAACATCTCCTGCCAGCTTCGCCGAAAACGCGGGTCCAGATCATTGCAGAAGAAAAGGGGTAGACAGGCTGGTGCAACTCAGCACGCAACATGTCAGACTCAAACATCTGCACCATCTTCGTCTGCACCTTCTCCACAAAGTGCAACAGATTGCTGCTGCAATCATGTGTCTTGCGATGCGAGGGCCGAGGGAGCATACCGAAGTGCTACCACTGCTCAGAGGTCGGGCTGAAGATGAGGAAGAGCTTTTTTCTGGTTTGCCAGGCTGCCAGCAGGGCGGTGGTACGACTATCAACCCCGTTTGATGCTATCGCACAGCACAGCAAGAAATCGACGGCCAACTTCCTCACGCGGAAGACACTGCCGCACGAAACGCAAAACCCTTGGCACTGCTAATTGCCATTCAAGAAGATTCGTATGTCATAGTCGCGACAGCACCAGAGTGACAACAATGACGTCTGTAGCTGCACCAACAACAACGACCAACAACAAACAATGGACAATGAACAACGAACAGCAAACAACCAACAAACGACAACCAAACAACAACCAGCAAACGACAACCAACAACTCACAACTCACAACCAGTAACAAGAGAAACAGAAAAAAGAACGAGAAGAACAAGGACAAGAAGACTGAGAAGAACACTAACATCGACACCAACAACACCAACACAACAGCAACAACACCAGACAAGAACAATAACACCACCACCGCCGCCGCCGCCACCACCACCAAAAACAAAAAACAGCCACAGCACTCACAGCAGCCACAACCACAACTTCGACGACGACGACAACACCGACAACAACCAAAAATCAACAGTCAGAACAGAAAAACAAGAACAGCAAGAAGAAGAAGCACCAAGACAAAACCATACCACGAACAACGACGAGCAACGAGAAAGACACGAACAGCAACAACAACAACAACAACAACAACAACAACAACAACAACAACAACAACAGCAACAACAACCACAACCACAACCATAACAACATCAACAATTATGACTTATATTATTGTTCTTGCAATTCAATCGGACTCTGTGCGAGCGGGCTCCACGCATGGCGGGCGTATTGCAGCCCCAAGCACTCACTATCTGTGACGACAACAACAACGACTAAATACGAGTAACAGCAACAGCAACCACCGCAAACACCGCAACCGGCGCCACCGCAACCACAACCACAAAAAATCCAACTACAACACGACAACCATAACCCCGCAGCCAAGTCAGCGTAGCACTTAAAAGTGCCCCTGTCCGTGCTTCCGGCGACCAGGCGACGCTTGGATTCAGATCGCCTTACAGAAGGGATCCCAAGGAGTCCCAAAGTCTCGACAAGATGCAGCAAAGCAAGACAATGCTGTGACGATCCCGTGGCTTCTGAATCCGGGCCTGGTCCCCGAATCCTCCGAGCTTGAGAGGCGCCTGGCAGCGAGCACTGGAGGGCTTCCGATGACGTCTGCCAGTGGAGTGGAGAGGTTGCCATCTGAGTCTGGACTCCGGTACCGCACCAGGATCAGGTTTGGAGAGCAGGTGAGATCCCGCCGTCTTTGCTGTGGGGCCTCGGGGCTGCAGTTCAAGCCTGGCCTTCCCATGTTGACGGCTAGAGCACCAAAAACGGCAGTACCGGGAATGAACAGCCATTGGCACATGAGCCATCGATTGGTCTCGCCGCCTCTTCCGCTTCGGGGTTCGCTCTTTCTGCGCCTCAGGGCCCGTATTGCAGCCGAACAGACACGGACATGACACCTGACGGTGCAAGCGCGAAAGCTTGCACGCACTCGGATTGCAATAGCCCCATCGACCAGAATCAGCGTGCTTGTAGAGTAGCATCCTGAGCGAAAACTAGCCTTGTCCATGCAAATCGCCACTACTGCAGACAGCAGTATCAGCTCCAAACCAGGCATCAGAACACCACCGTCACCAACACCAGCTGGCGGCGTCATCATGACTACGGGAACGAAAAGCAGCTAGAACTGAAGAAGTACTGACAAGTCTAAGAGTCGAGAGCAGCGGCTCGCCGCGCCTCGGGCAGAAGAGCCTGAACTTGGCTTAGGAGCGTCTCGCCTTCCTGACGAGGATAGACAACAGAGCGATCAAGCGAAGAGATATCGTGTTGAAAAAAGCCTCACAAAAGGTTGTTGAACAGCTCCCAGAACAGAAATTACAAATAGAGATCAGACATCTACATTTTTGCCACGACGAGAACACGGCCTGCTCTCGCTGACCCCGTGCTTTATATGGGAAAGCTGGGGTACAAACTTTGGGGCATTATGGTAATTGTCATGGGATCGCGCGCGGCCGGCAAGCTATCGGGCAGCTTGCAAGACAACTCTCACGGTTTTCCCCGAATCTCGTGCAACCATCCCCATCCATAGGTTTGCATCTCGAGTGCAGCTTCTCGATTCACGAACAGGGGCCCCCCTGAGCAACTCTCACACGATGCCAGGCGAATCAAAACCGGCTTCAGGATGAGCCGCCCCCACCTGCGTCCCCTGCTCCGGCTCAGCTGGAGGCGCTGCCTGGTGACAGGATTGGTCTTGCAGAACGAAAATGCAGCAATGGAGGTGCCAGTACAAGTACTAGGCTTTGCCAGTAGCAGTAGTAGTAGTAGTAGTAGTAGTAGTAGTAGTAGTAGTAGTAGTAGTAGTAGTAGTATTTGCACTGGCAGCTAGCAGTGCAAGCAGAACGAGCCGTAGCAGCGCAGCAGCACAAAGTTGCTTCAGCTGCACAGCCGTAGCCTTCGGACAGATCAGATCGGAGCCAGGACAAGAACCACAGCCCTCCCCAAGAATGCTGCAACCCAACCCAGGCGTCTTGCGAACGAACTCTTACCCATCGAAACGCATGCCTTGCGGTCTCCCCTGTCTCCTTTCGTCCCTAAACCCTGAGCTAACTAAGCTAACTTACCGCCCTCCCTTTCCCTTGGCGGCATAGGCGGTGCTTTCGGCGGTGCCTCTTTCTCTGGCGGCTTCTGCTCAGGCTCCGAAGGCGGCGCAGGCTGACGGCAAGGGAGGGGCTTCGCTTCAGGGGAGCTTGGAATTCAGAATTCTCGTTTCCTTTAAACTGTGCTTCTTCTTCATCTTCTTTGCGGAGGTTCGCCACCTGCATTGCTTCACCTGGCCTGGTCAGCAGACCAGATCTGCTGGTCGAGCTTGCTGAGCTCGGAATTCACGAGGCTCAGTGCATCCTTGACCTCCAGAAGCTGCAGACGGCAGGCTTCTCGAAGCTGTGTGCTTTGGCATGCGCAGTCATGCGGGTGTTGGCAACACCAGTAAGCCGGAAGTGGTGGTGCTGGCGTGCTGTCAACTTCCACGAACTCGGCCTAATCCGGCGGACAATCCGCTTCAAGTCTCACATCTGAGCTGCCTTCGGAGGAGTCGCGGGTCCAATCGCCACCTGGCAGTCGCCAACGAGGACCCAAGAAGATCCTATGCTTCATCCCAATTTCTCGGATTCCTTCCCGAAAGCAGCGGCTGGTGCTGACCTTCTGCCGTGGGGAGTCGACCATAATGGGAATCCCGGTCCTTACTCGGGCAGGTGATGGCGACATGCTTCGGGAATGTGGAGAGGACGTCTCAACACATGACGCTGTCACATTGCAAGCATCACCACTGACGAAGGCCTTTGTGCGTGGTTCACGAACTACCAGACTCGGGCGTCACAAAATCACCGAAGCAGACTCTCTCAGAAAAGCCTGCGTAGAAAAAACTCGCTGGCACTGTTTCAGCGCCTTCATCTAACCCGTAGCTGTTTTGCATATGCAGGCCTCTAACAAATATCTCGCTTAACCTGAACCTTTGCACCAAATCTGATCAGGCACGACATGGGGCAAATGAGCGCCGCACTTCTCCTCCAACTCTTTTTCCCACTCGGGCTGTTTGCTCAGTCTTTCGACAATCTCCTGCGTGATGACGACCTGCTTCTGCGTCCAGTCATGGTGAAGGCGTGCGACAAAAAGTTGTAGGGTTATGAAAACTGAAGACTTAAGACTCAGGTTTCGGGTGAAGAGTAGAAGGTCCATGCCAACACTGGCGCTGTGTTAACCAATGGTTAGCCGTTCCTGACGGTGTCTTCTTACTGTCTCACCACTTGACCACCCAGACTTGGCTATGTGCTTATGTGGCTCGCTAAATTTTTTTTAACTTCTAAGAAGTCTCCGCCCATCACCTCAACCAACCGCAGAAATCGCCCCGACGGAGCGCCGGGCCGGGGTGCCGGGGCGCCTCGGTGGAGATCTCGACATGCGGACTCCATTCGCCAGTGAACCTGAGCGGCACTCAGGGTGACCTGAAGACTACCACCGCTAACCGCTAACAGCTAACGTCGCTTTGGCAAAGGAGCCCAAGCTCGGCAGCACTGAAGGTGCGGATGGACTCCTGCCATGAAACACGAGCTATAGTGTTCTCGACCACAGGCTGCACGGGGGTGAGGTGTGGGGGGGGCGCTCCGAGCCTCGCCGTCGTTGAAGACCGTCATCAAGCTGTCCCTGGCCATCCCGAACGCAGCTACATCAAGCTACATCGCAGTGAAGCTTCAAAGGCCATCGTCCGAGTCGCTCGTCGCAGAGCCAGAACTCGTCGATGTCGCTGAAGCAGTTGTCCACCCAGCCTTTCCTGGACAATGACTGTCCCGGAACACCGCGGAACCCCAGAGCCTGCACCACCTTCCCTTCCGATCTGAAGGTAAAGTGGCAGACGATTCATCGTCGGGGACATTACTTCAAGTCTGCTTTGGGCTTTGGGTGCTCGGTACGCGCTGTCTTACTTATGCTCTACACATGCCTCTCCCGGTGCTTGCAAAAGGACGCAGGGGCCTGTTTTCATCAAAGACGACGACCATGCCCCTTTCGACCTCGCGCGGCAGCTTGGCCCACAGGCCCCCTAGGCCCTAGCCTGTTGGCACTGCAGCGGCAGGACTCAGATGTGATAGGGCTTAAACTAAATACAGAAAGCAGCAACCTGTTCCCTCAAATCGACTCGGACTTCGACAGAAATCAGCAGGACCAAAGGTGAGAAAGCATCGGTCGTTGCGAATTAAGCTTACCAAACCGACATCCTGCAATGTCTTGCATCAACTAGCGCCATGCAGTTTTCATGGATCTCATGGAACGGTTTGAAAGCTTCTGCTTGGTCCTGATGACTTCCTAAAGCAGCTGCCAACATGGCATGGCGGCATGAGGCCTCTGATGCCGCGAGGCGCTTCAACTCCACCTTCTTCTCCACAGGACTCCCTGCATTGGGGTCATTGGAGCTCTGCGGGAGCTTGCGAAAGGTTACAGCGTTTGGCGTTTGAGGCCTCGACCTACCGAAGCGATACAGCGACCAAATCTCAGACAACTCAACTCGGCGCTTGACGATGGCTACGGCTACGGGTCCTGACACATGCGTTCAATGATTCCAGGCTGTTGGTCCCGTCTTATTCTGTTCCGACGACATCTCGTGCCGGGGGTGTTTGATAGATTACCTGAGTTTCAGAAAGCACAGGGCCCGGTCATAGACTCTCCAGTAGTTGGATCCCCATCCTCCTTCTCTGAAAGATCCCTGTTGCCTACAAATGAATGCCCCGAGCTTGCGCTGCACGCCGTTCTTGCAGAAAGCCCAGGCTCTACACTTGCTGCCCAAGGGCTCGCGTTGCTGCCGGAGTTTGGAGGCCTCGGGCTTGGGGCACAGCTTTTGCAGCGGGGAGCGCCGGGCGCCGCACGCAGGGCTGGCATGCAGCCACAATCGTTGTAGACAGGCACTGAGGCGGCAGCGTGGTAAGCCGCGGCTCTACAACGCGAGGAACCCCTTCGGCAGGGAATGCTGCTGGCTGCGGATATGCTTCGGCTCATGCTTAGAAGGGTTGCTGCCAATTTTCGGCCGATGCCTCCGTTCTCTCTCTTTGCCCGGCCTTGCCGCAAGGATGCAGGCAGGTCGGACTTCTCTTCCTTCACCATCTGGAGACCATCGCCCTGGCTCGGGCTTTCTCAAAGCTTTATATCGTTGACAGATGTTGACAGAACAGCAAAGTTGCTCCAGCAGCGCCCCCTTTCAGGCAGGGAGGAGCAACCTACTGAAAGAAGCGTCGCACGGGGTTCTAGACTCTAGCAAGGGACGCCAGGCAGGCCGGATGCGAGAAAGCACCCAAGGAGGAGGTCGGCGGACCGGGAGAGTTCCAGGACCCGTCCTGGAAAGACGCTCTGAGACGAACAGACTATCGGACTATCGGAGCTCAGAGTGGACTCTGCCAACTACGTTTAACATCTCGGCCCCCTCGGCTGTTTGCTCATGGAAGACATCCCTTAAGCCGACCTGCATCCGGTCGCCCTGCGGCCTGGGCTCGCGCGACAGATTACAGGTTCAATCCCCCGGCGACACAGGCCCTCTCACGAAAAAGGGGCCAATGCACAAGTTCACCAAGAAAGGCGGATTTCGTGACTTCTGAGCTTTTTCTACCACAAGACATGTACTCAGCACTTTCTTCAACACCCTCGCCGCCGACTTGCTTCGGAAGCCAGTGTTCTTTGAAGGTGCGGCATCAACTGCCAAGCATCACATGGAAAGAATCAAGGGCTCAAGTTCAAATTTGTAAATATGACCTGACTGCATACTTCTCCAAGTGATGGTACGTACAAGAACACAACTGCCAATCGAATCCATCCATCCCAATGCAGCATTTCCCCTGGGTGTGGAACCGAAACAGAACAGAGAGACTTCACAAGTGACCCGTTTTTGCGGAAACTGAAAAACTCCTATAGATTCCCTCGCGAATGCAGGCCCTGAGCTTCGGGCTGCCATCGGAAATGCGGGGGAGCCCAACGGTGCTGTGTCTGGGCGTAGGCCTCCTTCTGAAATTTCGCTCGTTCCACCCTTGAGGGAAATCTGGAGAATCCGCCGGGTTTAAGTATTCGTCTTGTGCGGCTTAGCTGCGAACGTTTGCAGATCCGATCAAAGTAGCATGATCTTTCGGGTGGATACAATCGCACAAAGCCACAACTGCTCATGATTTTTGCGCGCGCCGAATCACAAATGAGTCCGGTGTTGGCGATCCTAGAAATGACCCGAAGCACTCTTGAACGTGGGTCCTTGTCCGTCCAGCTTGCCTCCTCGTGCCACGATGAAGTCGCGGCCTGCGCAGTCCCCACCACAAGTGCCGCTCAGAGAGATTCAGACTTCCCAGTGCCCTGAAGAAACGCAGGAAATGTATCACATCAAGATGTCAAAATCATCACAGTGATGTTGATGGCCATCAGGGGCTGCATGCTTGGCCGTAATCTTGCTTCATTCATCGTCGCTCATGGCCGATGCGCTGTGACTCCTTCTTCCTCAACCAACCTCATTAATTTGGGTTGGTGGGAGTCGAATCAGCAACATCGACGACGACAACGACCACAGCAACAACAACAATGGCAATAGTCATCATCCACATCGTCATTGCCCGCATCATCCGCCATCACCAACGTCTTGGTCCTGAGCCTGCCGGGCCTACGACCTCCTCCTCCTCCTGGGCTGCACTCACTCCTGGGGCGTGAAGCTCGACCTTGTTAACCACAGATGAACGCATGAATCAAGGGTGATGATCAAGAGTCTTGGACCTGAAATGGAGGAGCGACAGCAAGACCAACGCGAATTGCAAGCATTACATGAACTTGCCAGAGCATAGTTCATACTTATACTTATAATTATCTGTGATCATATGACATATGTACACACACACTCTCGCTCATGCCAGGTTTATGCGGAGTGATGCTGACGGCGTTGGCAGTGGGGAAACTGTCGGCCTTCACATCATGCACCATGGATTCTTGGACGAACTTCAACACGATACTCAAGTCAGCCGAATGGATGATGTCCCGTCTGCTCGTGATTCGTGATAGTCTCACGAATCCTGAGTAGTCAGCATGGGACAAACAGTCGATGCCTGCCTGATGCTGGAAATGGTTGTCAGGCTCCTGAAGGGGCTGTGGCGCCTTTAGCAGCGATTCTCCGTGATATTAAGCTAAACAAATCCCACGAAGATCTTCAACTGCCTGCTGGCATGTGTAGTTCACCTTCACTGGCTGAGTATTCCCTGAATGCATACCTTGCTGCTTCTTGCTTACCTTAAAAATTGCCAACTACTGGTAGCAAGGAAGCTTGAGCTATTGCCGCCGTGAGGATTGTCTGTTGTTGTTGTTGTTGTTGTTGTTGTTGCTGTTGTTGTTGTTGTTGTTGTTGTTGTTGATGTTGATGTTGTTGTTGCTGTTGTTGTTGTTGTTGTTGAGCAACAACAACTGTTGTTGTTGCTGCTTCTTTCGGGATTCTTGCACGATTTGAAGATATCCACCGTTGTTTGCGATGTTTGTGTTGAATACGAAGCTTTTATTCAAGCTGTGGGCTCGGGCTCGCACCTCACATTTGCACGTGGATGAGACTCTCAAGCTATCATGGGAGTAAAGTTAGCTTCTGTGAATCAGGACAAGCTAAATTGAATTCTCGCGCGCGTGCACGCGCGTCAAGACCCTGCCAAGGCAAGCAAACAACGGCCTCGCCAGCACCTTCGTCGAAGTAGACGACCTCTCGCTCAGTGACGAAGGCTTTGAAAGCTTGGGCTCTGTTTCTCACACTCAGCTCAGCTCCCAAAGAATCCTGCCGTACCCCTGCGAGGTTAACACGACTGACTACCTTCGTACGCCGATGAGCAAGCTTCCGGACACAGAACCTCCCTTCGTCTGCTTTCTCCATGCGTCTGTACCCGACCTTACCCGTCACGTGAAACTGACGAGTTGGCGTCGGTTCGTCTCGAAACTGCCCTGGGTCGCCCGAATGCTTCCCAGGTCTACCCCATCTGGCTTTGGCACACGGGAGCATCGAAAACAGACGGGAGGTTTGCGGCCGGCGTGCGCTGTTCACGATCCCTCTTCTTGGAGCGTGCTGAAGAACTGAACATGGCTGAACCCTGCGGACACACTGGGCCCGCTGTCGGAGTTCTTGCAGGTCCCGCTGACGGCAGCCCGCCGGTCATTGGAGCTCGTCTTGAACCCACCCCAGCCACCCCAGCTGCCTAGGGCCTAGCAGCTGAAACGCGCAAGACCCGCAACCCCCGTCAAGTCCGCTCAAAGCCCCGAAGCCATCCACGACTCGACGCTAGAAATCCAGAAGTTCTCCGCACGGAGCTCCGAGCTCCAACTTTGCCACCAGAAAGTTGGGGAAACTCCCCAAATGGGGGTTTTATACCACCCCCAACACTAGAATCCTTATCATAAGGACCCCAAATAAGGCACCCCGCCTAATTTTAACGGAAACGCCCCAAAGTCCTGGTCCAAGTCCGGCTCCGGAGGCGCGGGCGGAAGGACCTCCTCGAAGGCTTCCTGCGAAGACCCGCGCTGAGACCTACCTACGTTGCATCTGTCTGTATCGATCATTGTTATCTATAGATGTAGAGACTCAGACATACACCAGATGTATACACATGCAATCAGAAACCCAGATAGAAAGACAGACAAAGAAACAGACAGCAGATGGAAAGGTAGATTGAGAGACAGATAGATCGATTGACGGATGAGTAGATATAGATATGCAGAGAGAGAGAGAGAGAGAGACACACACACTCACACAAGCGTAGCGGCAGAAGAGAAAGACAGGCTCGTCAGAATGGCATTGCACAGCGTCAAACCAAGGAGGCATGCAGTCTTCTTCCGAAAACGTTCATGATGAGATGTGACGACTACTGATTATTGCCGTTGTGCACACGCACACAAATCTGTTATGCCGCTGTCAGCATTCGGCTCGCTTGCGAATTGCACTGCTCTCGATCACGACAAAAAGTCAGCTCCGTCGAGCAGGCGCATGTCCATACATACACATCTGCACACCTATGCCCACGCACCGACGGACACCGATACCTGGTCTTGGGCTTCGTCAAAGTAGACCACCTGCATTCAGTGTTGGTGTATGTGATGTTGGCACTTCTGGGTTCCTGGCAGTTACGAGAAAGTACGCTGCAGTCCTGCAGTCCTGCCTCCTAGTGTTACGAAAGTCACTGCGGCAAGGTCCCTGGCAACAATACGACACCTTGGCTCTCCAGAAGCTTGCCTGCAATGTCTGCAGAACGCCCTGTCCCGGTCCCCCAAAATGTTCTGATGCCTGCTCCGGATCCTCCTCCGCCTCGAGCTGCACGCTGGCCTGAAGATGACCCCGGTTCCGGGTTCGCACACGTAGTCTGCGTTTCTGTCACATGGAGTCTGTGCCGAGAAGTGCGCCACTGGGTTTCCGACTGCAGCGACCTCTCAGCGAACTTCAAGCAAACGGTTTGAGAAACAAGCGTGCGGAGAGGCTACAGAACATTGGTACTATCTCTCTCTCTCTCTCTGTCTTGCTTGCTTGGGGTATGTGGGAGAACCGCTTTTCGCTCTCCCTCTCCCTCTCTCTCTCCCTCTCCCCTCACCCTCACTCTCACCCCCACCCGCACCCTCACCCCTCACGCTCACTCTCACTTTTGTTTTGCTTGGGGCAAGAGCCACCCCAGTGTCTCTCTCTCTCTCTCTCTCTCTCTCTCGCGCTCTCTCCGTGATCAGCTCGTCTCCTGAAGACCGTGCAACTCAGCCTGGAAACTTTGACAAGGGCACACAGTTTCCTTTTGGAACTTGCTGCACGAACACGACATTACACCAACATACCACATAGACCGAGCAACTGAGCTTGCTGCGCTCGCTGCGAGCGGCCTTGGCGGGGGCGGTATCATCACCCCGCGAGCGATAGCCTTGGAAATGCAAGAAGCTGGCGGGCTCCGCCAGAGCCCGCTTCTCACAAGGGCACCCACGCAGCGCCTCATGGTCTGAGTGCCTATAGTGTGTCTAGACGTCTTGGAGAGTCTAGAAGTCTAGCCGAGAGTTGCACAAGTAATCTCGCGGTTGCTGGGAAACACACACAGACACACACACAGACAGACAGACAGACACAGACACGCTCTCGCGCCACACAGACAAACACACACACACACACAGACGAACACACGCTTGAGCCCAAGACATAGCCGCCGCTCTGGGCCGTGGCTTTCGCTTTCGCGAAGGTGTGCAGCGCATTCTTCCATGCAGGCCTCGGTGTGATGGCACTTCTGGTCCTACTACTATCTCAACCGCAGGGAGCGCGACCAAAGCTACTGTTGCTTATGTTGCTGGTCCAACTCTTCAGAACACTTCAGATCGTTTCTTCTTGCGCTACGATTCTTATTACAACCACTTGTCCTGCTGCTGCCGGTGCTGCTTAAGCTGCGTCAGATGCTGCAACGGTCTACGACAAGCAAAGCACAATTTGCACTGCGCGTTTCGGTTTCATGCGACTGCACGGAAGCTGGAGTTCGGCGCCCCCACTGCAACCCAGCCTCCCTTTTGCGGGCTCGTTTCTTCTAAGTGCCCTAGCAACAACCATACCGATGAGGCCCCGGACACGGCTGCCGGGCCTCGGAGAACGGGAGCAGCAGCAAAGAAGTCTCTCATAAGCACTTGCGAGCTTCAGGAAAGATCCCCGAAAAGGAAAAAGGAACTCCTTAGTGTCCGCAGCCCACAGTTAAATACCGAGAACCGTGGAGAACTTCAACAACCACTTCTGTTGAACACTCGCTCCCTCCCGTGGAAACAATGTCTTGTCCAAACATAGGCATTCAAATCATAATGCACCCGTATGATATGGCAAGTCAAAACGAGGTAGCCAAGCAATGCGATGCTCATGTTGGTTCTATCACGGTGAGCTGCTGTTCCGCGATGGTTAATCGCAGGTCAAGCGAATTCTTCACCACGTTGCTGAGCCAATTCGTGCAACCCCAGAGTCAAGCTTCTGACGTAAGGCGCCTTCCTGACTGAAACTCCAAAGGTAGCTGGGAAGTCAAACAGACAATGCTGCATAGCGGCGGATCCGCATCTTATGCCATAGCCATGGCGAGACTGAAACACGGTTTCGGCTCGGCAGATGGGGAAATGGGGACTGTAAGGGCCGCCGTTACCTATGCCGCGGGGGGCTCTTGACTAATGCCAACGTGCGGATCTGTGAACCCTCTTTTTGCCTCCCGCCTGGCAAGGACGAACCTACGATGCAGGGTCTGTAACATTGAACAACATCGTTTCGAGACTACTTTCAGTCTGAACCTAGGTGTCTAGGTTCTAAGTGTTCAAGCATGGGCTGCATGGGAGAAGGTTGGTGAAGGCTTTCCAGGCTTCGGGCCTTAAGCTACCCATCTGAGAACGGCCTCACCGTTCAGGAGCTGCCCTTAGCCCTTGAGCCTCAGAAGGTTTTTGAATGGGATCTGAAGGCTGAACTCAAAATCGCAATAGCTTCAGTCGCTCTCGCAGCAGCTGGCAAGCCCTGCTTTTCTGGACACCGGGTCGCCCGGGCGCGAGAAACCTTACACCGTCCCCCCGCAACGAGTACGAAAGAGCACCAGCCAGACGACGACTGTCTTCATGGGCTTTGGAAAGCTTCAAAGGGAACTCCACGTGGACTCCTTCGCATTCCTAAGCTGTTTGACGGAACCGGCCCCAGCAGAGCTCAACTCTCTGAATCCTCTTCACTGCTGCCTGAATCGGCAAGTAATTGCATGTAGCCGGGAATACAAAAGCCGATTGCTTCGGTCCTTCGGCTGTTGCAGCTCTTTGTAAAGAGCTCTGGCTGCCTGGTTAAACTAGCTGTAGTGTTCTCGAGACCTATGCTGAACCCACAAGAAAGACATCACTGCCAAGTTGCGGGGCTTGTGTCTGTAGTGAGTTCGAATGTACCGATGCCCTCAACAGCAGTTGCCCTCGGCAAGAAAGCTCGACGAGAGACTAAGTTTAGTTACCCATCATACAACTGTCATCAATGCGCCACCTGCGCAAGCCTCCAGTAGCCCTGCTGTGGGCCGCAGGTGAAACATAAGGCTGGCCGGGACTGCTCGGTTTCAAGCTTCAATGACTCGAAGTCAACGGCATGAAGGGGAAGGCGTCCTGCTGAGTAAAGTGCAAAAAAAGCTGTTAGTCAAAGGGACCCACTGTTGGGGCGCTATCAGTTCCACGGAGCACAAAAGCCGATGCAACCCGGCTGGCAGGCTGTACAGAAAAGGCCGTTTCCAAAAATCGACTTGCATCTCTCCGCGCTGCAGAAGAAATTGAGCACAAATTGAAATCACGTGTTCCCTATTAGGCCCCCCTCTAGGCCCCAGCTCTATAAGGGGACCTCCCCGAAGTCTCTGCCAGTCTCTGCTCTGAAAGTCTTCTGCAAGGGGATCGGGGCTCCGGCTCGCCACTGGTTATCCAAGATTGAGCCTGCCCTCACTTCCATTGCCCGGGCCCTGTGCGTCAAACTGCAGGTGTACTGCTACGGTGTACTTCGTCCTCTGTGAAGGGCCCGGGAACGTAAGAAAAGGTCGACAAAAACGGCGGCGTGTAGGCATCGCGACAACACAAAGCCTCGAAACTCGAAACCCCCAAATTCTACTGTCCCTGCCGTGCGCACAACATGAGTTTGCATGCGTCTTGAGTCGTAGTTGCTGAGTTCCGTGCACAAGAAAGAGATTAACACTTGAAATATGCTAGGACTATAGAACCAAAAAGCTAAATGGTTACCTGCTCAGATACCGGGAGTAGGGACGGCAGAACAACTCCATGAAGACGGTGACACTTGACGCTCGCACAGGCTTACTGTCGGATGCGATTGGGCTATGCCTCGTGCAGGTGACGAGCGCTCAAGATGCGCCCGAGAAGGTGTCAGGCTTGGGCTTGGGGCCCAGGGCAAGGCAGAGAATGCACGCCTGCGCCGTGTGCGGAACCCGTTGCACCGGTGAACTCGAAAATCCCCGCAAAGCTGATGCTGGTGGCTCATTCTGAACTCCTCCCCTCCCTTCAGCGACCTGGTAGGTTTAAAAAGCTGCCCTCTGCATCGAGCAGGAGGGCAACGTCGTGGCGCCGCGAAGGATCTCCAAGCCACCTTTCCAGAAAGGCAGATGGACATTTCATGACCCGCAAAACACCACGGTAAAACCCTCAAACCAATTGTCGGCTCAGATGGCCTCTCACGCGGCTGGGTAGTGCATAACCTTGAACTGCAGGATTTCCTGCACCGGGCGGCTCTTCTGTGAAGAGTGCAACTTTTCCCTTTGGCTTGACACCAGTCCAGACCATCATCCAACTATATCCACCCTGAAATACGCCAACAGATCCTGTTGCTGCATGGACTGCCGGCTGCCTCTGCTTTGCTTTTTGCTACTTCCTCCGTCATACTATTTAATTAAGATTGCTTCACACTACTATCACTAAGTCACTACTACCACCACCACCACTGCCACAGATCCCGTGGCGGCTAAGAACTACAGTACGAACCTCCCTCGGTTCCGGCCACCACCACCACCACCACCACCGCCACGTCGACGACCATGCCGGAAGTCAGTGCAAAGATTCTTGACCCGTGCTTTGGAAGAGGGCATCAGAGAGTTCTCTTAGGTCAATGGTTCCTCTTCTCCTGCTCGACTCCCAAGCAGATGTTACCATTCAGTCAGTGCGCAGCCTGGCACCAGGAAAAGCCGCTAAGTACTGGTGTCGGCACGTTTCACCACACAGGCAACTAGATCGGGTTGAAGCCAGAAGCCGCTTCTTGGCCGGAGGGGGAGGGGGGCGTGTCAGAAAGCTCAAGGCACAGTCACGGCCCGGGGTGCAAATTGCCCAGCTCTCAGAGCTCTCCTTGTTGCGCATGTTCGACAGCAGCTCCTTGGATGCTCAGAATTCAGCGCGCGAGAGTGGCTGTGAAGCTTCGGGCTGGGCCGAAGCACAGCGAGCAGAACACCCTGCCCTACTCCCCAAGAACTGGCTCCCAATCGCCGGAGTTGTCAGACCAATCATCCAAAAAGACCACAAACGGAGCGTCATAGATCTTCGAACCGCAAGGCCAAGGCCCGGACAAAAACTGCCAATCGGTGCAAAAAGTAGATCCCCAAAGCGTCTTCCACCCCAAAACAAATAACTTGGTTTACCTCACAGCTTCCGCACCGCTGCCGCCGTCGCCATTCACAGCAACCACGCGGTCGTGTGGTGCCACGGCCTTTCTCCGAGTGACTCCGGACATATGCTGCAACTGCAAGCTGTAAAGCTGCAGATCAAGGAAAGACAAGATCCAGTAAGGAGAACGAACAGAAAGCAAGCGCCAACGATCGTAGCCCGGAGAAAGGGACAGAGACGGAGAGACGTGTGCTGCACGCAGGAGGGAGCACAAACAAACTCACCAACAAAGCAGCAGACAAGGTTGTTCAAAAATGGACAGGTAAAGAAGCAGATAGGTGAGAGCTCGGCAAGCGCTGCGTCTTGGGCCACGGGTCGTCAAGCAAAACAAGCACATGGGTAGACAGAAGTGGGAGGTCGATCGCCAGAATGATAACACACCAGGCAAACTGACCGTAGGTGCATGTTCTCTGCACCCAGGGCACCGCGTCCGGATTCTCCGTGTTCCACTTGTGAACTTCACCATCGGTGATGTTGTCCTCAGAGGCGCACATACCAGCCCTGGACACCTGCTGCATACTGCAAAAGGGCTCCCTGAGGGCTTGAGCCGAGGAGCGATCCAAAAGCCGAGGCTTCCACGCTTGTACTTGACCTAAGCGCAGCAGAGGGCAGCAGCTCTTGCACGAAGTCGCCTAGACGACGCTCGATGCATTGCAGCCGGGAGGCGAGGATGCCGAGGTCAGTGCTTTTGGCCAGGTCCTGACGAATACGAACATCCATCGGATGAGATTGGCACACCGATGTTCGAGGACGGACTTGCTGGGGCCCCGACAACCATGCGCTCTTCCGGCCGCATGAAAGCAATCGAGAACCTGCATCTAAGCGGGGGATGCCAAAGCCTTCAGGGTTTGGGCGCCGCCGGAGCAACAGGCTTCGACATCCGGCCGAAACAATCACGAGATGATGAGATTTGTTGAAACCAACGGTCCCCCGCGCACAAACGACGTGGACTGCTTTCTCTGTGAACGACAACTTGCATGTCCACAGCACCCAGGATTCAAAATGGGAACTAGACTTAGGCATAGTCAGCCCAAATCTTCGGCTGGAGAGCGTGCGGCTTAATGCCCTGCAGTCATCTCGGTGGAACTAGCAAACATCTGCATCGACTTCTGCCCAGCTGCTGATCATGCTTTTCCTCAGCTTTTGAAACAGGGAATACCTTGAAACTGCCTTGCGCCGCAAAGCCACGATCACTACAATTACTGTTGCTCTGCTCCTGGTGTCGATAATCTCGGTACTTGTTGCTAGTAGCAGTAGTCGTCGTCGTGGTCGTCGTCGTCGTACTGTCGTTCTCGTCGTAGCAGTAGCAGTAGCAGTAGCAGGAGCAGGAGCAGGAGCAGTACCAGGTAGCAGGTAGCAGAGGTAGAAGGTAGCAGCAGCAGCACTAGTGGCTGCAGCAACGGTATTAGCATTAGCAGTGGTGGTCGTTGTCGTTGTCGTCTTGCTCCTCCCCCTGCATGTAGTGAGCAGGAGCAGGAGGAGCGGGAGCTGGAGCAAACCCCGCTGCAGCAGCCGCAGCAGCAGCAGCAGGAGCAGGAGCGGGAGCGGAAGCGCAGCAGCGGCAGCAGCAGCAGTTGCGTCGGGAGCAGCAGTCATCACTACTACTACCCCTACTACTACTACTACCACCACCACCACTACTACTACTACCACCGCTATCACTACCACTACCACTGATACTACTGCTGCTACTACTGCTACGACTCCTACTCCTACTCCTACTCCTACTCCTACTACTACTACTACTACTACTACTACTACTACTACGACTACTCCCAGTGCGACTGCAACCGCTACTGCTACTGTTACTGCTGCTACTACCGCTACGACGACTACCACAACAACAAGGCGACCACGACTACGACGACGCCGACTGCGAATACCACGACGACGACTGCTACTATTGCACTAGCATCAGTACTAGGTAGGGGAATGGGGAGGTGTGGCACCGTCCACGGCAACGCGGACTCACGCGCCCTTTGGAAAGCACACGGTTCCTAATACCGTAAGGGGAACTCCCTTAGCTTGCGCAAGCAGAGTGAAGGAACTAAACCTTCACGAAGACACGTCTTTGCCAGGCGGCCAGCAGGATCTGCGCCAACTCGCGGCTTGCCCCCGAGATGCCATTGACGCGGATAATACGGTCGAAGGGCCTGATCTGGAGGGACCTCGATGGATGCTGAAAGTGGTCGTGCTGAAGACACATGACATATATCACGCATGGAAAGATAACTCACCCGAGCACTCAGCATGAGATGCTGGCACTACACTCTGAAGGCTCAAATCCTCCAGCCTCTAACCCACCTTCTGAGCCATGATCTCGGGATCCTGAAGACTTCTTAGCCAATCCCATCGAAGGGCGCATCGCAGGAGGAGTTCCAAGCTCCGGCCAACCCTCCGTCAACCTCCTTCACGATGCAGATGTCCTCGTCCTGTCTGAGACGGCGATGGTTCTCCGGCGCTTTGAGAGAGGACCGACAGGCCTGGAAACATACCAAGTGGGGTGCATGGCACCAGCGAGAGCCGCGGCTTGAATAGTTGGGATCAAGGCAAGGGCGGAAAGTCATGGACCATCATTTGTCGCGAAACATTGCATGCATAGATATGCACCATGTATACTATACATATGTCGTGGGCATATATATATATATATATAGATATATATGTGCGTGTGTGTGTGTGTGTGTGTGTGTGTGATTTCTGAACATGTAAGCATGCATATGTATGTATATCATACACAATTATGCGAGTCAATGGAATATTGGTACATACAATGTTTCTAATCAAAATAATTACACTGGCATAGGTTCAAGGAATTCACTACGATTGAAGTTGGGCACTCCTGTGATCACGCTTGTGGCAATGATTCAGAAGTACATGCCGAGAGCGGATGGAGGTGACGCAATAGTCCAGACTCTGGCTGGAGTGCTGAACCCAGTTGCTCCTAAATCGCAGAACAAGATGAGAAATCTCACAGGAACGCCCGTTGAGAGTCCGCCAAATCCAGGACCATGCCGGGCTGCACGATGCCTCCCTTGATCATGCCTGGACTTCACACAGAAAACGGCTTGAACGAATCTGCAAGGCCGGCGGTGCAGAACGGGAAGTCTGAGAAGACAGTATCAATGACGGTTCTGGTATCATTTCTGGGGATTCCCCGAATGATTGTGATGGCTGCCCTATGCAGCCACATGCTTCAAGCCATGTGGCACGCTCTGCTCCAGCTTTTGATCGAGACAACCAAAGACTCTTTCTTCCGGTTCTTGTAGGGTACACGACTTTGTTGGCACACGCCGATCGGCCCCACCTTTATGCAGCTGCACCACGAAGGCGTTCTCCGGCAGCACCGGCTGGGCGGGCGCAAGGCCTTCCTGAGACACGGAAAGCGGTTTCACCGCTCAGAACGCTCAAGTCGTGCCTGAAACAAACTTGAAGCTTGTGTCAAGGATTTCGGCAGTTCTACGTCTATGCACTGTGGACAACGTTGACAAAGTCAAGCTTCAACTTAAGACTGCTTTGGACCTATGAACAGCCAGTCATCAACGTGGTAAGCTGATGCGCCTTGACCATCGAACCATCAATCACCGTCTCGTTCTGGGATCCCGCCCAAACGCAGCCTCTCTCGCACAACAGGTGCTGAGGGCGTTCTCACGATAATGACGGTCGCTTGAGAGTGAAACAAAAGAACGCTGCTGCTGCTGCTGCTGCTGCTGCTGCTGAACTTGCTGCTGAACGACTGCAGGGTCTATAGGGCTACGACCGGTATTGCCACGACGACAACGACGACTACTACGACCACAATAGCGGTTCAATAGCGACCACTGCCCGTCGTTGCTGCTACTCCTTCTGCTTCTGCTACTGCAACTGGGGCTGCGACCGCTATTGCTACTCTTGCGACTACGACTGCGACGACGACTACGACGACGACTACTGACGACGACGACGACGACTACTACTACTACTATGACGACAACGACTTCTACTCCTGGACTGCCATCACCACCACTACCACGACTACAGCTACGATCAACTAAATACTATTTCTACTACGACGACTACTTCGGGTCTACGACGACGACTACGACGTATAACTACTTACGATTTGGGACAATGTATCAACTACTGATACCAATTCTCAACTCGCACTACTGCTGTGATGTTGAGACTTCTTCCTGCCGATGTCGGTGGTCTGCGATCATGCTCTGAAGACAAACACGATCGCAACTCTCCTGTCTGAATTTGCCAGCCGTTCTTGCAATTCTGGGATGCTGGACTGGGACCCCCGCATGCAGCACACGCCATGACCTGCGGGATTGTGCACGTGTCGATTGTCAAGCATTGATGCTGATTGTACTTGCAGTGTTGTTGCTCCCCATTCCCCATCAGCTTGAGGCAAACCTTCAAATCTCGATCGCCGGCCTGGAAGGGAATGCCGACTCTTTTCGGTGCGCACTAAGAAGATATGTAGCGGTGCGAGGCAGTAAGTTTGCAGCTGAAGTGCTGGATGGGTTGCTTCTACCTGGATTGCCAATGACACACGGCTGTCTCTCTTGGCCGAGATGTTCGGAGCATGGAAATCTCACGCCAAGGTTCGGCGCCCGCTGATGCACAAACCCGCGTCTAGTCCCAGAAACCCTTTGCCTCCAAACCCCGGTTTTGGTGCGAGCTAACCTCTGACTGGCAACCCCGGAGATTGCTTCTCAAGCCTCTGACCGCACCAAGCCCGGCTCTGACTCTACCCTGCGACAATTGCTCTTGAAGCAACTTGTGCCCCACAATTACCTTCTCCACACCTTACAAGCAACCATCCTAATTCCTCTACAGCCTCTACACGGTCTGGAGTGGTTTGGGTTTGGGACGCACGGAATCGAACCGAAGGAGAAGACTCGCCCAAACCGGCTTTTTGTCTCTGCTACGGCGCTTCGTCCAAATCGGTGAGATACGAGTACGAGCTGTCGCTCCTGAGCAGGTGGAGCTTGGGTCTTGGGTCTTAGTGGACTTTGACTACTTCTTGACTTGCTGCTGTCACCGACGACAGTCATCACCAGCATCACCGTCACGTTTGGAAAGCAATGCAGGCCAGCCACGAGGATGGGCTCGGATCAGATCTCCGGGATCGGCAGCCTAGACTCAGCGAGACTTGTAAAACAGAATGGTGCGACACTTGAACAGTGCCTCCTGAAGCTTGCATCAGGACATACCCAAAACATGATCAGATTGGCACATTTGAGCATGGACACATCTGCACGCTTCGCACCTCCGCGCAAGCGTGCAATAGTCATTACTGAAGACTTGCGACAGCATGTGCGGATATGTACATTCGCACCTAGTTGAACTGTGCATGCCAGTGTATGCACTCCTCACGGAAGTGGCAGCATTGGCAGCTCGTGCCTCACACCCCAGCCCTGCATCCCACTCAGAAGCAAGTTCTAGTTACTTGCAGGTAAGCGCCCAATCATCATGAACAATCTCAAAGAAGGCTTCGGTTTCCCTCGCATTCTTTGAGCTCGCAACGCTTTCGCCGTCCCTGTCCTGCAAGCAGCCCCATGATTTTCTTATGGTGTATAAATGTTATCTGATTTGCTTGATGTACCAATATTCCGGCTAATATAACTTAATTGGACAACCAGTCATCCAAATTCCACTTGATCATGGAATTCACATCCACCAACCTGTTCCTGATGGCAATGTTATTGTATTTTAGGGGTTTGACAGGAGCGAGCCCGAACTTCCCGCGAACCCGCGGCTCCTGGCCGCAACGGCACAGCCCCGCCCTGCCCGCCGCAAGCCTGGGGAGGTTTGCGTGGGGAGCAGCTTTCCTGCAGCGGCTCGAACTCTCAGCGCAGCAGTGCGGCCCTCTGCTTTTGCAAAACCGCCGAAGCCCAACAATCTCCAAACACTCTTCTTTCTTTTCACGCATCATCATCATCATCATCATCATCCACTGACTTTCGCGCAAGGCTCGAAGGAAGGCTCGGAGGAGATAGGAAAGCCCTGAACTCACCTAGACTCATCGGAATCCAGAGAACCAGATCGAAAGTGGATCAGGGACACGAACGATTCGCAAGCTCCATCTTCCTAGGGCGATGGAAAACGTTTGCCCGTGCTTTGAGTCTGGGGACGGCACCCTCCCTGCCGAGAAGACCTTCTCGGGCATCTCACGCCTGGCACTCTGCTATGGACCGTGGCTGCAGCTCTACAAGGGCCGGAGGCTTTGGAAGGTTGAAAGGCACTTGTTTCTGCTTTCCAGCGAAAAGAAGCACCGCAGGAAAGTGGGGCGTGTGCTGCACGAATCTCCGCAATGAAAGCCCTCTCAGGAGCAGGCCGCATGTAGCGGTCACCTGACATCTTCACGGGCATCTTTCAAATGCTGTGACCCCCTTAAGGCCCTTGAGCCCTTAAGCAGAGCTTGTAGCCCCCGGAGCCTGCGCAGAGGTCTACCGTCTCACCGTAGTGCCGCTCCAAAGAGCTCTGGAAGCCGGGACTTCGCAGCAGCCTGGCAGCAGAAACCCCAAAAAAGCCAAAAGCAACCCCTACCGACAACCCCAAACCCGAACTCGGACGTGATCAGATGACACGTAGCTTAGGAACAAGCTCAGGGATGCCAATGGGATGCGCGTCGTGCTCTCATTTCGTGACTGAGACTGCCGTCTACCGGACAATGAACGAGTTTGCAGTGTGTCTGTTCATACCATCTTGCTGTTCACTAGTCGCTTCGGTCATGCTGTTGCGACAAATGATTCGCAGGATTGAAGCCAATTCGAGTGGCCTCTTGGGGGACAGCGGTTGCATGTCTGTGCGGAGGGTTATGTACATCTGCAAGCATGGCGCATAACAGACGCAGATGTGTCAAGACACTGACTGACAAAGACCCCCAAAAGCAGTAAGCTAAACGATGTGGCCCAATGAACAATGAAACAACGACTTGCGTCTCTGCATGTACAGTTTTCTTCGAAGCAAGCACTTGCTTGTACTGCCTCTGAGCACATGCGGACTCCAAGATTATGAGTGAATGCATGTTTGTGCGAGCATGTGAAGCAAGTGCTGACTGCATGTATGCTCTCCGTTCCACTGTGGTAGTGTGTCTTGTTTTTGTCACTCGCACTCGGCAGGCAGGCGAGGTTCAGTGTGTCTTGTTGCATTGCAGCCTGTTGTTCATCGGGCCGAGCCGCGCACTGCTGTGCACTGAATGATAGGTTGCGAGCAATGAGACTGTGATATGATGCATCTTGTTTTGTAGCTCGCCGTAGAACTCTTGTTACAGCATGCATGTGGTGGTTAGTAGGCTTTGCGTTTGCTGTATGGGCAGCAAGACCAGTCGAGCGTCATACAACCTACCTTGAGGCTTCGAAGCATGAAGCGGCCTTGCATAGATGGCACTGACATGTGACATGTAATCAGCGACTGTAGTTGGCTACTGCATTGACCGCAACGTAGGGGTGCCAGTAGGCCTGTGCATGTGGCTGCCTTCAGATTTCAGGTGCGGCTTTCGTGCTCGCCCACATGTATGGCAACTTTGCCTGTAAACTGATTTCACGCGAACAGAACAGTTCACACGCATCTTCTGACATCCTCTGTACCAAAACCTGGATTGTCAGTTTCAGAGCAAAGCCCCGCGAGCCTGGAGCGCAATTGCTCCCAGAGAGGAGGTGCCTGCGACTTTTGGCCGAAAGTGGCTCAGGGCCGTGCAGCAATTGGCAATCCTCCTCTGAAGACTCTAAGTCCTAAGTCGAATGGCAATAGTCAAGTCCCAAGTCATCTAATGACAATGCCATCTCAGTTGAACGCTGACCGTACCCACACTTGCCACACCCCAGTGGGCTCTGGGCATGACGGAGTGACAAGAGCAAGAGCGGCAAACTTCAATTACTAATTCTGGTTTGCAGTGAACCTCGGCGCGTGGAACGGTGCGCAGGTGCACCGCAGCTACACCTCATACCGCGCAGTTGCATGCTGCTCAACCCATGCAACAATCACGGTACTTGTAGCGACTGTCATGTTGCGAGTGCTGCAAAGCGTTGCGTCTTTGATCGACTTCGGGTGGGCCAGGCTGGATCTTCCAACACGCGTAGACCCTGGACCTAGACATTGGACCCTGCACACTGTTGAGGCCTCCTTGTTGCAACTGATCCGCTGCATCCTGACGCCGGCCGACAACTAAGCAGAGTGCGTCTCTAAGATTTCTAAGGATGTTTCTTGTTCTCTAGACTCTACAGCAAGTAAGTCTCTTCTCTACTCTGCTGTTGCCCTGCAATTCTTGAGATCTCCCTCTGCTTCTGGTATAGCCCTTCACAAAAAAAGGATCCAAACTGTATACAATTGGGATGCCATGCAAGCCCCCCGCTTTTCGGACTGGCCTCGAGCTGATCCAAACAGTCGTCCTCGCCGACTTGCCATGCATCAAAAGGTTTACCCCCTCACAACTCGGACTTGCCAGAGTTTGGCATTTGAGGTCTCAGGGCTTGGGCGGCTTTCGACTCGCACACTCGCACTTGGCAAGAACGGCTTCGAACGGTCTGAGCTTGCTACCCTAACATGCCTATCAGTTCCAGCGTGCACCTGCGACAGCCTGTAGGAAGGGTTTGGCGATGTGGGCATTGCCTCCCTTGCAAATGCCGCCTCTTCCGACGCCTTCTTTGCTATGCAAGCTCTGGGATTCAACATCAACCGTCGCCACAGCGCACGAACGTCGACGAAAGAGATGAGAGTTGGAACCGCTCTGCCCTTTCAAGCCCTCGCCGGCCTTCGTATCTCGGAAGGATCTCGGGCTCATGGAGTAAGTTCCCAACGAGTACTCGCCTGGCGCTCGAGCTCGAGCGGCGGAGCTTCTTGCTTCGCCATTGCGAGAGAGAGAGAGAGAGAGAGATTGTATATTTATACATATGCCATATGCTGATATCTGTTCTATTTTTATATGTATATATATATATGTGTGTGTGTGAGAATGCTGTACCTATAATTAAGTACATATACTTATATATATATATATATATATACATATACATATACATATGTATGCAGCAAGAGATCTGACCTGGTCTTCTTATCGTATCAACATGCAAAACCTCAGCCATGTCCAATCATGTGCATGCTCAGAGCTGACCGTCAGCATCATCGGTGTGCAGAAAGTGATTGACATGGTCCGGGTGGAAGGTCACGAAGGACTCGTACACGCCAATGCACATCTCCTCTGGTGAAAGACTCTCGCTGCTTCATGACAACTCCCCCACATTGCAGCCTCCGACTCCTACAGCAAGTCAGCCCCGCCGCCGAATGAACCCCTTTTGCCTCGGACACGCAGA